TATTCTTTGACTTTAGCAACGTATGTAAATAGAATTGAGAGTTTTCTTCCCTCTTTTCTGGACCAGAATACTCTGTTTTTCACTCAGTATGTACAAATAATTCACAGAGAGTAATATTTTTTCATTCTGTCGCAAACACTTCACAAAGAAAAAAATTCTAAGTCACCAATGTTAGACCATTGGATCTCACCCTACTATGTTCTACCAATGAGCCACAAAGACTCTTTAAAGTGATTTAGGCAATCACAATGTTCCCACATGCATACTACCTACTGCTAAGCTTTTCTTTTTTCAACCCCTTTCAAAAAAAAAAGCACTTACCATCACCAGCACTTCCCCCCCTCTGCTGACGTTCTTTCAAGTCCTTCTCTGGAATGCCTTCCATGCCATAGATCTCTATTTCTGGATCTCCTCTGTTGGGTACAGAATTGGGAATAGTACTGATAGTTTCCTTGTGAACTTGCATACAATGGATTGCTAACCCTGGGCCTGTGTATAACTTCTTGTGACAAATGGGACATTTGAAATGTTTGGCCTTCTGATGCTGGATTAATATTTTCTCTTCATCAAAGTCACGATTACAATACCTTTAGTCTGGTCAAGGTGATAACAACAATTTTGAAAAACAAAAGGCAAATCCACCCACAACATAAAGGTTACTTTCAAGATGGCAACAGAAAGTAGCAGTACAGTTTCGGTAAACTTTCACAACATGCTACTTTCAACTTCCGTCTAGAAAAGCTTATTTCAATTTTGAACTTAAGTTTACCTGTAACATATACCTTTCAAACATGAAGACTTTCATGAATGTTAATTATTCGACGGGTCAAATTATTCCTTCTTGAAGAACAGTAGCTATGTACGTAGCTAACACCCAGCAGTTACACAGCTAGTGAAGATAACTCAACTCGATTCGTTTGTCATTAGATTTAAGCTTAGTTTCTCCGGAAAGAATGTGAGGAAAGACGTAATTAGCTGCAAGCCAGCCGGTTTTAAGTTAAAAGTTGGATCAATTTCCTGCGTTTTAAATCTAGCAACTTTCTGAATCACATGAAAATCATGTAAAGTTAAAAAGGATACCAGCACCAGGGCTTTGTAGCCTTCTTCTTTTTACGTCCCATGACTTCGACGACTGCGATTAATTTTATCACAACTTTGACAAAAAGCTGTCCAACGTGGTTACTTTCCCTTTTCTTCAATGGCAGTCGGAGGCTGTGAAATCCCGGATGACAGGGTACTAAGGAATGCTGGGACAGTATTGGTTGTTGGCGGTAAAAATAAACAAACTGAGATCATTTGCGAGATCTTGTTCAAGTTTGAAGCAGTTTTTCGCCAAAACGAAACTAAGGAATGGAAGATCCAACCTTCAAATTGGTATGTTAAATAACAGAGGAAAAATCTATATTAATAAAAGAATTGTAAATGAGAATTCTGAGGTAAAATACTCAGACTGTTCCCTACAAATTAAAGTACACGGAGGTTATGAAAAATATTATTCGAAATAGCCCGTTCTGATTGTGAAAAGTTGCTGTTATATCACTCGAGTCTTTTTTTTTAGCTAGCTTGTGCATCTGTTTTTTAAGTTTTTGATAAGTCTTATTTTGTTACAGGAAACAGTGAAAAAGCTATTGCAGCAGTTTTTTCGTGACAAACAGAAGACGAAATGTAAGTTTTGAAATAGAAATAACACACGCAAAAACTGGGGCCGAGGGTTTGTGGGTACGGAATGGATGGAGAGCAGACAGAGAGGGATGAATCAGTACTATATTTCAAACCAATGAATATTTACTGACAGTGAGCAAGAGTGACTTTCAACTCAGAAGACCAGCACATTAACCCTTTCCTCTTAGATCTCAATAGTAATTCTCATTACTGTCTAACAAACGATCCTCCTGATGTTAATTGGGAGAATTTGGTATTGGATAATTTTCTTCTTACTCATCACTTGTCTGCTTGATATTTTGTTGATATCATATGGAGAAATTCTGTCTTGGTCACTTATGGGAGTTAATTAAAGGGTTAAAACACATTGGCCACCTCATTTTCAATGTAGTTGATAGCTGCGTACTCCACAGATACTTGAATGAAAACATAATTTGCCCTCCGCAGGTAATGGAGATGCTCTAAAGCTAATGGCAGAATTGTTAAGGATCTTTGTTGCAGGTAGAACCGCTTTACATAATGGTGTCAGATGACACTCTTAAAAGTGTATTTTGGCATTGTAAATTCAGTCAAATTTTTAATAAAGTATAAAAACAATTATAGTAGCAAACGTTTGCACACCTAGTCTTTTTTTGTGGTTCATGTGGGTTGTTAAAATTAGAGACCAATGTCCAACATTTTTCTGAGGGACCAGGCCCTTTAGATGTAATGAGGTCTTCAGAGCAACCATACAGAGTCCTCTACATTAAGTGACAATAGAAAAACATTCCTCCTTAAAATCTCAGCCATATTTAAACTAGTCCTTGCTATTTCTTTGGAATGGTTTTGTGGGATTACCCAACGGTATTTTCATGATGAAGTTTGTAAGAACTCTTACAACATAGAGGACCTCTAATTTTGAACTTTTAGAACAAAATTGCTAATATCCTGGAAATAATTTCGATATATCGACAAAGTTGAAATGGTAAATTGGCCACCGTTATGATTATAAAATCTGACGTTTTGAGCGTTAGCCCTTCGCTCCAACGAAGGGCTAACGCTCGAAACATCAGCTTTTATAATTGTAACAGTGGCCAATTTACCATTTCAACTTTGTTGATATATTGAAATTATTTCATTAACCCCACCGATGCAGCCCCAAACAGTTTCTTTAGAAACTATCAGCCTAATATCCTGGAAAGTCCAGTTGGTTCATTAAAAAAATAACCAGGAAACTACAGCTGTGCTACATGTGCTTCTTTCTGTTTATCTGTGATTTGGTACTGAACGGTCACAATCAAAAAATGACAGGGAATCTATTTGATAGATATTATTTTTGTATTTTTATCTTTTCCACAGAGGGAGCTGCCAGGGCTGGACAGCAAGCAAAGGTATTTTTTTTTATGACAACTTGACTAGGTTATTCATTTAGTTAGAAATTAGCCAGCATTTTAAAGAGAATAAAGAAAAGACTTTCTGATTAACAATGAAAACAAGCAAGATTTCACCAAAACTTGTATTTTGATAGTTTACTCAAAACTCTATGTCAACCATTTGAAACAAAAATCTTGTCTTCTAATTATTCCTTCATTAACTTTTGGGTACTTTGTAGGTAGAATCCTCTCCGACGGTAGAAACAGAACATTTGGAAAAGATTCTGCCCCAGCTGGTAAGAAACTCATAAGAAACAACAATAGTATCACAAGTTTAAATTAAATTGGAAAAATTGAGAGATGCGACAAACAAAGTTTACAAACCCAGAATCTTATGTCTTTGATGATAATAATAATAATAATAATAATAACATTAAGTAACTAGAAGGAAACACACATGATTCGCTGCAACTCTGAGTTTTGTGCGTTAAGCACTCATCAGGCAGATTTATATACCGCTCTACACAAATGTATATTGAGCCCATTTTAACAGTGCTGGCTACAATTCACAATTAATAATAATAATAAATATGTTAATTGAAGCTCCCCCGTAGGTGCTTTTCAGCTACAATGTAGACTAACTAAGGGCTTGAAAATCCCCACTGGTAGGAGGCAGACCAGTAAGCTATTAACAGATCGCAGCCAAGGAGTTGAACTAGGGGCAACCTAGAACAAATCCAGTGAGTGGCAGGATGGAGGACTTGAACCCGGGACACCGGATTACAAGTCCAGCACCCTAACCACTTGGCCATGCTGCCTCCTTAATTGTAGTGATGCTGAGAAGAGCAAAAAAACTTTGGCTTGTTCTGTTTTCTTAAGCATGAAGCAATCCTGGTATGAAAAATTTCCAATGAGTAGAATCATTATGCACCATTTTTATCATGTCCTCTCTATTTTACAGCTTCTTGACTTCTAATTTTCAACAACAACTGCTTCCTTAAAGGGAATCATGGAACACTGCTGTTTGCACTGTATTTACAGTTTGTCTACTTTTAAAAACCCTCAGAGTGACTGAATTAGTAATGGTCGCATTTTCTTAAAGGACTCAAATACTCTCATATTCTCAGCAGAGATGTAATGATTTAAGTAGGTATATGGTATATATCTAAATGTTTAATCTCTAAGTGTAGCAAACTGTAATTTCTGGTTCTGTTTTTGTATGACGATAAGATGAATTGCTATTAATGATTATGTAATAGGCTGAATTGTGCATGCATTTGGACTGGTTCTTACTTATGATGTATGAAGTACAGATACATAGATGAATTCACCATTAACAGCTATAGTACTGCTCTAATTTCCTTTAATACTTTTGCAGTAAATGGTTTAGACGGGGGGGGGGGGGGTAACGTGAAAGGGTAGTGTGATAATGTCTGGGTGAGTGTTGTCCTGAGAAGGACTGTTGCTGATGGTGGTGATCGACTGACGTTTCGACAACCCGTGTGAAAGTCATCATCAGAGTCACTTGACTCTGATGATGACTTCCGCTCAGGTTGTCGAAACGTCAGTCACCACCACTGACTACAGTCCTTCTCAGAACTACACTCACCTGCTGGACGATCATACTACACTTTCCCAAATACTTTTATCATAATTGGTTGGGTTGTAAAAGGAGACAAGGGTTAATCTCTCGGGTGAAAAGAAAGAACTCACTTGAAGGATAAAACAGAGTGTATTTGTTATTTAAATAGATTATGTTTAAGACTAAAAGAAAGGACAGAGGGTGAAAGGGAGATGCTTTTAGGGATGTAGTATGGAGGGGTAAGGACAGAAAAGGGTTGTTTAATGCTGGTTTAAGATAACCCAGGGTTAGTGTGAAATTTGATTTTAGATCTAAATACTAAAAAAAAACCACATTAATTACATTTGTCTGCAAATTGATATTATGGATGCTCTAAAAGGAATAAGGAAAATTATCTTAAAATGGCCTTTAAACAAAGAAATAAAGAAACCTGGATTAAATTGCCTTGCCAATGCTAACTGTGCCTTTAACAACTGGACCCTGTTGTGCTCTGAGCAGCCTCTAACAACTTGAAATTAAGGAATAGAACAAAACTTTGTGTGGATCATAGACAAATTGAGAATTTGTTTTGATTTTATTTGCTTTTGTTATCTTATAACTTCACAACCATTGTTCTTGAATGTTATTTGTGTAGAGGAAATAATAAAATGATACGTGAAGTAAACAAAGGATAAACTACACAATGAGAATGGTGCAAAATATGTCATTGTTCGTTTCATTTCTATACTTCTGCTCGATTACCGGGTCGGCTCGTGTTTACTAATCAACGGAGTGTTTAGTTAGTGAGTGCTTTCGAATCGCTACGGAAAAAGAAATTGAACAGCATCCAGTTATCTGACCGAACTAACAGACCTGATTCTTGCCCATGTCTATGGAAGGCGAAAGGTCATTCTGAGATTGTTGGTGAGCAACGGCTTTTAAGTTATGCTCTTCCTCGTGTTTTAGATGCTTGAGCTATCTGATATTGATTTGCCCCATCCTCGCGATCAATAAACGCTCAAATCTGTTGCGTCTAAACTGACTGGCCCTAATGTAAAGGACAGCACCATTTTGACCAAAACTACAGCTCTATCCATTCCAAGAATTGACGTGTTCCCTTACGGAACAGCCAGTGTCCCTGGCGATATTTCATGTTTTAAATCGTTGTGCAGGCATGCAGCTGTGCGCTTATAAATTCCAGCCACGCCAGCCGTGCAGGGAAAGAGGTCAGTATATTGTAACAGACTTAGGCACTTCCTGTGCAACTTTGTAAGTCCAAATATGGTCATGACGTTCTTGCTTTGTACAAACAGGAAGTCGAAGTCTACACACTCAACTTGAACAAAAACCACCGCTTCAGACGTTGTCCTTGTTTATAACTGCCACTTCTTGGTAGATTAATACTTTAAAATATTTATTATTGCTATATGTTACAAGCTATAATGATATCAAAGGCCTGGTTAGTTAACCTGTATTTGATTTTGCCGTATGCCACCGTGCCTACAACAAACTCGTACCAACATGTACCTTTCGTTTTCGCAATCCTCTTTCAATCAGCCCATTTTCCTTCGACCAACCTCTTAAGGGGGTTCACAAGGCTTCCACTGAGAAAATTTTTTCCTTAGTAACATTTTGCGGTGTTACTTTTTTCGTAAAAAAGTATTGGAGTATTTGGAAGTTCCATTGATCATGCACCGGATGCAATTTGAATCTTAGCAGCAGTCAACACACTTCGAAATGTATTAATCACTTTAAATTTCCTTGTTCGCTTGTTTGAAGATCTTATTTCTTTGTTTTGCAAATGTCTGTGTTTAGTCAATGGTGATGATATTAATGTGTGCCATCCCAGAAAGGGAAAGTCTTCCGCTGTCATGTATTCAAGTAATACAAAGTTTTTAGGTTTCCGCTTCCATGTAAGTCACGCGAATGGTTATTTCTGGTTGTAGATCTCGCGCGTGGAATTTCTTAAGCTGAGGGCTTTCCCAGAAATCTTGTCTCTCTAAACTCGCTTATGTGTACCGTAGCCCTTCCGGTCATAAACTTATGTTGTCCTGTTTGAAATCTAATCGTTAGATGTTCATAGAAGTGGGCGAAATTATGTCCAAACGTTCGACACCTTCCTTTCTACCTGAGACGTTTTCAATAACTTGGGTGATGTTCTCATCAACCTCCAGAAAACCACACCATCCACGGCGATACCGCCTCTAACGAGGAAGAGGCAAACAAAAGAGTTAATGAGTATAGCTTTATCTTTGCGAAGGCGTTTTTCAAATTTGAAAATGTCGTAATCGTCCTCAATAAAACTGCTACGTAAACTCATTAAATTTTACCATTTTTACCAAATTTTCTGCGTCCGTCGCCAGAGCTGAGTTTGGCTCCGTTAGGAGAATCATGCACAAAACTAACCCACGAAATTCTTATAGATCTGGAAATTTATGAAGCTATTTGGGGAGACTGGAACGAGAATATTTGATATAATCTGTATTCTCAGCCAGTGAAAAGGTAAGGATGATATTTTTGTAGCGGATGTCTGTAATCACGAGTAGTATAAAGAGCACAGATCGCGGTTAGAGTAGGGTCAAACGGTTAGAATCGCGTGTTTGGCAAACGTGTCATTCCGCCGGGTTATTTTAGGACAGAGACGAACAGGAAACTATAAAGGAAACCGTTTTTTTTTTTTTTTTTTTTTTTTACTTTAACAAAGAATATCATTCTATATTTTGAAGAAAGAATGTATATAGATATATATTTACATATAAGCTTATGGTCAACTACGACAGTCTTCTTTATCATTATAATTATTTTAGAAAATCATGACGACTGTACGTATCAGTTTTACGTACATACCGTAACCCAAAGGGATACTTTTCGGTTTCAACTGGAAAAGGAAAAATTTCCAAAAATTTCTCGGAAAGGACTGATTGAAGAAAACTCCAGCGCTGACTTACTAGTTTGAGAAATAACTAAAGCATTAAATATATGTTGAAGAAGAAAGGCGAAAAGAGGCAAAGGAGATATGGTCGTGTTCTTCAAAAATGGAGTTAACAGCTTTTTGATTTCGTTCTAAACGCCATATTAGTGACAAATGCCATGCAGAATCACCATGCGAAAATCGTATTAAAGTGTTAGATTAAATTGTATCGCTATTTATATCTACAGGTGCGTACGTGACCAAGATTTTGCTAATGAAAGAAGATTAATATGTGTTTGAAGTTTTGATAATAATATAATTATGACCGTACCTCATCGAAATAAAGTCTTTTTATGACAAATGAAAATAGATTGAGAACAAATTATTGCAGCCATTTCTTAAGAAAGATTAAAAAAAATTTAACAGCTTTTTCTTTGGTCATGAAGTTTACGTTTACGTCGGTTGTGTCACAGAATTGCACACATTTTCTCACAATTGGCTGTTGTAAGAACTTTAATTCGGTTTCTAACTCAAGTGAAAAGTTAATTCTAGTCTCAAGGACGAGTGTTTTTTTCTCTAAAAGGGAGCCGTTAGTTGGAAAAAATTTTTTTTTTTTTTTTTTTTTTTCTGTTTTCTATCTTTGCCTGGTTTTTATCGGATATCGAGTTTTCCAGATCTTCTAGGTGCTAAATCAGAAAATTTTGAATAGGTTGTTATTGTGTAGCTCTGAAATAGCAGAAACCGTTCTTTCGCGTAAAATATCAATAGATTCTTTATCTTTTTGTGTTATCTTCTATCTATCTATCTCGTTAGGCAAGGCTGTTTAAATCACGGACCGATCGGGAGCGATCTTACCGGATGCCGTTCATTTCTCAATGGATTTCGCACTTGCCCAAGGTGTAACTTAGGGAAAGTTTTTATTTTTCAGAGTATCCAATATAATTGATATAACCACAGCTTCAAGCATGATGCATTGTTGTGAATATACTTGAAAAATGTCTGCGTTAATTTGAGTACAAACGTGCCTTTTCCGCCTCACTTTCGGCGTTGCCCCTCCTTGTTAGATAAAAGGTTCCCGCTAAGGGAAAAAGTCAGATGGTCTTCGATATTTTCCACCACTATTATACGTGCATGTTGCGAAATCTGTCGGAAATTGTAAAATAACAGGAACTCGCCGCTGAACGTCGCAACCGGGACTTCACCGTAGCTCGCCCTTGTATGCCCTGGAGCGGCCGTGTTTAGGGTTACATACTTGGGGATGCGATGGGAATTAGAGAGGAACAGCAGTTTGATATATTCTTAAGGTTTTATAATCCACCTTGTATAATGAATGGTAAAGTGAAGTCGGAAGGGACTTTTATTTCCGTTTCACACAAGGAAGTTTTTCGTTCCTCGCTCGTTCCGGAAAACCTGTGTTTAAGTTTCCACACAGAGTCAATTATAAAGAACTTCAAAGACACCAAAAAGATTGTATACGCGCACCCCTAGGGTGCACACTCACTGATTCAATGGTAATTTAGCGACATTTAGAAAAAAAAAAATTGATAAAATTCCTTATTTGAATAGCTTAATTTGTCACGCAGTCTTAAATTGTCAAACATGATTTGTAACGAGTGTGGAAATGCAAAAATGAATTGATTAAAAACTGAGGTTCTACAGTTTTATTATTTCTGACGTGTTTTTCAGCACTATAACCCCTTAATCCACAGTGTTTATTCAGATATAACAGCCAATGAGACTGACAGCCGACCGAATTACGACATTGTCATTGCCACTTCGACACTAAAAGCTATCCGGTTCCGAAATTATTTTAACCCTTAAAATGCGAGTCGACCTTGAACTTGCCTAACCCTCGCCGTTTACGATAAGGCTGTACTTCGCTTGTGTTCTTCTTTCGGAGACATTTGAGCTCCTAATATGCCCATCTGGCCACTGCTGATACTCTTTCAATACCATTGTTATTTACGACTGTCGCTTGTCGTAATCATTTTGCTACTTTGTGTGGTGCTTAGTTTCTGTTTAATTTAATTAGATATTCTTAGAATAGTTTCAATGTCTTAACGGGTATTTATTATGGGATCGTCAAGTGCGAGGGATTTTTTGTCATTCAATACTTCGTAGAATCTTCAAATTTCACGGCGATTGAGCTTAAGAGATTTCGGAACACACCTTGGCCATGTGTGCTTCGCGACTAAAGCTCGCCGCGTTGTCTATTTCCACTTTCAAGGGAGATAATTTTAACGCTATCCCCTCAGGCAGTTTTCTACGGAAAGAACCATAAACAAATTACCCCCCATTTGATCGTCCTATTTTCAAACATTTTCATTTCTGCAGTAGTATTTGGCTAACAGTTATGGTTTAAGTCACCGGGACTCCCCCGCCCCATACGTAATCGTGACGTACCACTGACGTCAATTACTCCACTTCCTTCTAAAATTAGGATTTTAAAACCTTCTCTCGCGCTATTTTGGCGCTCAGTTTCATCGGCCTACTGAGGCATCTTGCAATCATGTCAACTTCAAACGGGTCTCCTGTTAAAGAACAAGTTCTTTACTTTAGTAAAAGCAAGCAGGTAAGGCGTTTGCTGAGGACTCTTCACTTGCATTTTTTAGCTTCCTTGGTTCTCAAAATTGGTGTCAGTAGCAACTTGTTCCCTCTTAGACAACTCTCATCTGGAGATACTTGTGGTGAACTCATACTGAATGATTTATAGGAAGATGCCTTTAACCCAAGGATTTAATTTCTCGAAGATCGACGAACTTTCATCCGACTACCCTTAACTAGCGTTCGTCGGCCATGTTTGGCAATCGTTTATCTATGTGTTAATTTCTCTTAAATAGATGACGTTTGCTTTTTCTCAACATGAACAGTGGGAACCCAAAGATGTTAGCGTGAGTGAATTGAACGGAAAATGTAAGTGTTCCCTTCGTTCTTTAATTTATCTCCATATGTTTCATGAAATGAGTTTCAATTCAACGCCTCATCCAAATTATATTTAGTATGTCTTGGTGCAACGAGTGGTATTTGTTTTTGTGATCGCCCACCATCCTATCCACGGGAATGACAGAAAGTTATTAATGGGCATTTTTCCAATTGAAAATGAGAGCGAAAGACAAATTTTTACCATGAGTTGCCTTTTGAAATCGCCGATTTGCAAGTACAATCCTTGAGATGCAAAGGATTTCATTTTGATTTTAACCATGTGAATTTTTTCAATCAAGTTAATTCTAGCGATTGGGAAGACCACCTGCAAGAATTTTGGACTTAATAAACTAGGCTCGAAAGTGGTGGGATTGCTTGCTATAATGCTGTTTGTGCCCCTCTCACCCCCACAGACTGAGTTACACCTGGCTGTTTGTAGCTTCTTTTCTCCTCAGTGGCACAGTCAAATAAATAGAAAGCCAGACATAGAATACCTTGGAAGTGAAAATGGTTCATTTCAAGCCTTAATTAAAGATGAAATTTCCTGTAAGAGGCACAATGATATACCCGAAAAATAAATCTCAAGTGCTCCAAAGTGGTACTGAAAGTTATGATCGTCTGACTGTGATGAATTAATTTTGAGCTTTACCAGAGAAGTGACATAAATATCCAAAATGCTGCAATACCTAAGGCATTAAGAAACTGACAGGTCTCAGTCTATGTACTCCACTTTCAAGTCAAGTCACTGCAAGATATTTCCTTACTGTGATCAATACACAAATTGAAACCAATTTGAATTGGACTTGCCATAGATTTAAATTCTATATGCCTCAATCTGTCACATACTAAAAATATTTCCATCTTTTACTTCAGTCACCAAATTTAAAAGAATCCAGCTTCATTTTTATCATTATAGAAAGTGCCTAATATTTGGTTCTATCCAAATCCTTCAAGATTTTGTATTGATGCTGACGTGGAAAGTTGTTCGATGATTAAGAGCTTCTCTTTTGGGTGATAATATTCTTCTTCCCATGGTCTTAATGTTCAATTCAACAATGGTACTGCAAAACAGGATATCATGCTGATCACTCTTTGGGATTAAAGGATTAATATTTTATCTGGGTGACAGGAAGGACAAATTGAGGAAATGGTTGTGATCTGAAGCATATTGATTTGATCTAACTCCATATTCTCTGAACTTACCCACAAAGAAGTATATGGGACCTTTTAAGAGAGAGTGTTTACTTGCATATTAGGAATAAGAAGGGTAGTAAGAAATTCTCCAGGGGCTTGATAGAGTTGTTATGGTTCCACAGCCGCTTTTGTTTACTTATCTTGTCTGAGGATAATGTCAGTAAAAATGCATTTCTTTTTTTGCCTTTTGCTAATCAGGTCAATTAAGCGTTCGACCAAAAGAAAAGAGAATTTTGAAACAAAGAAAGATGGAAATCGAATTGTCAGAGAATAACTACTGTGTGGTAGAGATGGGTATAGTTGGTAGCCAAAGCAATGTGATTGGACTTTTATGTATGAAACGAGGCTCTAAGATACAAGGGCATTTCTTCAAGTCTGAAGACAGACAAAAACTCAACAACTTAAAGGCCATACTCAGAAGGTGCTGTAAAGGTAAGAGGAATTTCTTGCTCTTCATTTGAGTTAATAATTGCTATTGAAAGAAGCAACAAAATTATGCAAGATATCACTTCCTTGAAACACTTTCAGAAATTAACTATTGTAACCAGTTTTTAGAAATACATTTTTCTTTTAACCGGTTTGGAAAATAATAATTTAACTATTTATGATTGTGATTTCATCTCCAAATAAAAAAATAAATGGGAAGGTATCTGACATGGTCTACGAATTAGAAAACAAAACCGGAGAGAAAATAGGTAATAACCATACTTACATTTAGGTTTTTGTAATTTATATTGAATATCATTATTTGTGCAAATAAAGAGCCTTTTTTAACCCTTACATATTTATTTATAATGTAGTAAGAATTAGTTGATCACCAAAGCCAATAACTGATATTTTGGAGTCTGGCAAGGACAATAATGACTTGGCATATTTATTCCCTTCCCACCTTTTTTATAAGAGACAGTTGGACAATCAATCACCTGTTGAAATAAGGTTATTATGCAAATGTGTGCCTAGTTCAGTTCTTATGAATGCTTTTTTGTAGTTGCACCTGTCTTGTAAAGCCTATAGAGACAGTCATTAATTTTTTTGTGGGTTAATCTACAGTTGATTCATTTGAAGTGAATGTGGCCCAGAACTGTTCCCCATCTCAGTCAACCAAAGCCCAACTTCATGTCTTCCATGACAAGATCTGTTTATCATCAAACTCTGGTTATGACTTCAAAATCTTGTGTGAATATCCTTTGAATTCTCTTTCAAACTGGCAACAAGACCAAGAAAATGTGACACTGACTGTGGCACACAAAGGCAAAGAAGAAAGGCTCTCTTTGAGGACTGACAAAGGAAGTGCTATTTGTGCAAAGTTATCCTCTTTTGTTCAAGAAGGATCTCAAGGGAAACAACAGTGTGATGGCAATTCCAATATCATACCTTCATCAAAGATAAGCAAAAGTTGTGAAATTTTTGATCGCCTGACAAGTTTTACCAGACCGAAAGCAATGTCTTTTTCAACGAGAAAACCAGAACCAAAGTCCCCACTTGCTTCTGAACAGAGCATGGACACTGAAGATTTTAAACAGGACTGCTTTGAGTCATGTTTTGTTAGCACTGGAAATTTTGAAAGTTTTCGTGATGGTGTGACACTCACAGCTGTTGAGATTTGTGATGATGCGGATGATCAGAGCAGGTGTTCATCACCTCATGACTTAAATGATGACATGACTCGACAACCTCCCCCTCCTCCTCCAATCCCTCAAAGACTAGCTAAACAAAATTCAGGAAAAGATGCTGAAGTTCTGATCACAAGAAGACAGACATTACCACCCAGCTTTCGGATTGTGTCGAAGCCACCCTTGGCTGTTAGGGAGAGGCAGTGCAATAAAAATGAGCCATCCCTTAAAGGGATGAGAACTGTTGAAATTAAGGAGCTTGTTCAACCAATATGTTTAGATCCTTCTTATAGACATTCTGGAAATTGTAGTGGTTCATACATACATAGGCCAAATGAGGAAACAAATAACATATATGACTCAAGTGGTTTGTACTCACTGAAAGGAGAGGAAGAGGATGTTTTCAGCATGGCAGGAATTAAGGGTGGCTCAGAACCTTTTGTGGAACAGCCTAAAATTATGCAAAACAGGGCATCACCACAACCTTCCATAATGGCAACTTCTTTTCTGGATACCCATGCAGATGGGAAAACCCAAGGTGAAGGTGAAGAACAAAGTTCAGATAGCACTTGTCACTATGTGAACTTACCAGAAGGGTCAAGACCAAGCTGTTACCTTTATATGAATTTTCCTAATTTGAAGACAGCACCTAAAGAGGCACCTGTTTACATCAATCATGTGTTCATGAGTCGCAGCATGCAAGGAATTTATGAAAATGTCCAACAGTTTTGTAACGAGAAGTTTGAGAAGGGTGGAGCTCCAGAGACAGGGATGTCAGCACCACCCCTCCCTCCACCAGCTCTTAAACCTCGCCAGCCACCTCCAAGATTACCAAAAAGGGCAATTGGAGGTGGGCAAAGAGTACAGCCAGCACCCCCTAGGAGTCCGCCACACACAGGGGCCCCACCTCCGCCCCGTCCACCCAAAAAAAATGGGGCTGCTTCAAAGATGCTCGTAAGTTTAATTATCAATTTTATTAAGCTATTGTGGGAAACAGGGTCTCTGTTACAAAGGTGAAGGAGAATCCAACAATGGAAATTGGAAGTTGTGAAAAGGACTTACATTTTTCTTAACATACTAGTAAAAAATGTTTAACATCTAAAGCTCTTGATTTTACAGGTAAGATTGGAAGTTAGCATTTGTCTTCTTCCTTTTCTGATTTAGCTATTCTGTTCCAGTGATGTAACAAACATTTTGTTGCATTTTAGGAAAGATGCACTCAGCAACAAGACATCCAAGTTACAATTGCAGTTTTTGCTTCAAAAGCAGTGGCTGGTAGGGAATGGTTTCTGCGCATTGTTGTGATGCAACATGACCCTGAAGACTCCACATTCAAGGTTAGTTATCATACCAGCTCTAAATGAAGTCTCAAATGCTCTACATGGTTTTTCTCAGTTCTGATCAGGCAATAAGGTTACCTTGCAATTTTTACAAACTTAAGGCAAAAGTGGATGATTTTTTTCTTGATACCACTATCCACAGTACAATTTCCCAGGCCTAGAAATTAATTGAAGTAATGAAAAGTTGACAGAGAGTTAATACATTTGGGAACAGTAAAGGAAAAATATCCCCTCAGTTACAACATCAATCTTGTATTTTTTTTTTAATCAACCTCTCAAATTTTGGTGATGGAATACTGCAGTTGCTAAACATTTTATCTTTGCATCCAAAGATATTTCCTCTCAGATCACAATGTTCATTTAACATATTACATTTTTAATCTGCTTGTTCCTTAAAGATGGTGATGGATCGAGAACGTGCAAGCAACTATCGCCTCATGCAGACCCACCCATTTAGTATCTCCTCAGACATTGTCATATCATTGAAACATCAGTGCAAGCAATTCAAACTTACCAGTGAAAATTCCCAGGCAAGTTTTATGTCCTTTGATAATGGGTTAAACCTGGTCTACCTAGGCATGTTTTGCTGTTCTGAATTAAAGGCAGCGAAGAATAACTCATTAGACATCTACCAGTAGCTCAAGAAAGCTTATCATCATTTTGATTATAGAAAACAGAAAAATTATTTTCTGCCAAGTTACATGCAACTTGCATTAAGAAATACAGTGGAACCTCAATTTAATGAAGTGCCAAGGGATTGGGGAAATTGGTTTGTTATGTCAAGAGTTCATTATATTATTGAGATTCTGTGGCATACATTTTGATGTAACTTTAGCTGCGCTGAAACTGAAGTATCATTTTTTATACTCTGAAGACTTTTTTATATAAAGGTTTGTTAAATCAAGGTTCTGTTATTTTACTTTAACTTTAAATTTATACTTACAGGAAGTTGGCTATAATATCATTAAGGACCTTCTACATGGTTTTTGGTTTGTGATTGAGTTTCATCTTGAACACTTGGGCAGTGATGGGGAACATTTTGCTGGAAATGTCTGTGTAGAACCCAAAGATCTCCCTCGTGGTGAAAAATGTCCTGTAAACAAAAGGGTCAATCTTGGTATTAATGAAGACTTTGAATTAAAGGTAGGTAATGTTTGCATTCACTCACTAGCACAATTTTTAAAGTTAGAGGCCGATTCTTCTGGTGAATCTAAGAAATGTTAGCTACTCCAAAGTAATTATTACCTCAAAGTTTTGCCCTTTTAACCCTTGATACCCAGCAAATATTAGACATTTTCAACCTTGATCCCTACATTTCCTGTCACAGTGGTAATGGCAAAGAGAATTTTGTTTGAAAAAAAGGCATCCTCTTTAATTGGTGATCATTTCCATTATTCTAAGGTGACTTTTACTTAGTTCTTAATAACCGAGCGGGAGGCCTGTATGGAAGAATCTTGACCAAGGTCACCAGTACAGACTGGGGTCAAGATTCTCCCATACAGACCGACCTAGCTCGGTTAATAAGATGTTTATTATATGGCTGTGTCTTGTATGCTAATTTTTAATATTCTTTGTGCCTTTTTTTTTTCTAGACTGGTCTAGATGGGAAAATCTAGACTGTTTTCGATATTAATTTCAGACAATCAAATTTGTGAATTTGGTAGTTCCCAGTCCTTGTGAGACACAGCCATATAATAAATTTGATTAGAGGATGATACTTTAACCCTTTCACTCCCAAGATCTCAAATTTAGTAATTCTCCCTACTGTCTGTGATACAATTCTTATGATGTTCCTTTAGAGAACTTGGTATCTGATTAACTAATAATCCACTGGTTGATATTTTTCTTTATTCTCATCACTTGGCACTGTAAGGAGAAATTGTCTTGGTCACTCACGAGAGTGAAATGATTTTAAAAGGAGACATTAGAAGCCATTCATTCCATGGGGTTAAAATGTTAAGCTTGTTAATTCCTAAAATTAATGGGGTACTATTTTCAGAACTCCACAGCAGTACATTATCATTATATCAGAGTTCCACATCAGGTTTATTGAGAAAAGTAACCGATACATTAATTTTGTACACAGACACTGAAATCTTTAAGGAAGCAGTCTGTAGAAGGCAAACAAGTAATACAGCAGATAATCAAATATTTACCAAACATTTTGATTTTGATTTCAGCAACGTTTTAATTATAAACAACATGGAAATCGTTATGGACAGGAAAACCAGACAAGCAAACATGTGATTTCTGATTATGCAAAACGGAAAAAGATGTGTAAATCGCTTGATATTTTCTCATCACAAAACTGGAGAGATGTTGCGGGACAGTTGGGGTTTAGCTTTGAGGAAATAAAAGGCATTGAGGACAGGGCACTTAGGTGTGTCACCTTTTCACCAATGGAAGAGGTTCTTACTACGTGGGAACAAAGAGATCCTGAAAGCAGCTTGGAAAGACTTATCAATGTATTACGTGAGGTTCAACGACTTGATGTCATAAGTGATCTTGGGTTTCCAGTGGACTCTGAAACTTTATGATCTATGCCAGGCTGTAGCTGATGTGTGAAGGGTAAGATAAGGATTATGGCTGGCATAGTAGATTAGTAAGTGAAGCCCAAGGGAGATGTACACTTTACTTTGTTGTTGATTGAGAAAGAGATCACTTTGTGACTTTTACAACTGTAATGTTCAGGTATTTTGATAAGAGCTGACAACTGCAACTAAATAAAACCACTGCCTATTTTCCCTGAAATTAACAAATCCAGAGAAGAAATCCAGACTTCCATTTGCTGCCTACTTTGCAATTTTTTGTCTTCTACTTAAACTTGTTGAAACTTCTGAATATTAATTGATTACTCTATTGAAATGGGTCTATTGAAACTTTTTCTGCAACATAAAAATACGTAGAAAAAATTTAAGCTCATTGGCATACTCACACTCGGGTCACTAATAAGGACCAAGCTTCAAGGCCTCTTAATTTATGGGCTTCTTATGTCATATTTCTGGTGTGAAATTGAAATGAACTTTTTTTAAACTTTTTAAATCGGATAACGTTCCTTCATGGGCTTCCTCTTTTTAATGGATTTGAAGTTTTCATGTTGAAAAGTCTGCACTGAAAATGATATGTCTCATTGGTTTCTGTAACAAAGTAAAATTACACCTTAACAAGGTCATTGCAAATCAAAGCCAAGTAGAAGTCTGTGTCTTAAAGTCAGAGAAAATGATTGAAAAGGAGCCCATTTACTGTGAACAATAACGAGCTCACGGAGACAGGGAGGGTGGAGAGGGTCGTTGCAACTACAAGAGTTAGAGATATTTGGATGTAACTTTCAGTTGGTAACTATCCTAGTTTAGTTATTTGGATTAAGAACCAACATATCAAAAAGCAGAATAGGCCAGGTTTCTTTTGGGCTTGCTGCACTTAGTCTTAGGACTAATTTAACATCAACCATGACTGTGTTTTGTTTAATAATGAAGGAAACCTCCACAGGTGGACCAGATTGCTGTTGATTGAACTAACTCTTGAAGTCAAAATTTGTTGTCTCAAATAACATTATAAACATTTGTTTAAATTTCAGTTCTTGACTGCCAATTTTTGAAATGGGTATCTTCACAATACAAGAAATTTTCATAAGTTTCACAGCAATTTGTAGTGTTAGTGGAGGTTTCTTTGAACATACAGTTTTAGCCTAGCAATTTCTTTTGTGTGGATTTTGGCCAGAGGATTCACTAAGTTGGCCTACATGTAGGTTATGGATTGTAAAGGGTGCCAAAACTCGATGTATGTTTCTCCCTATGGGAGTTTTTGTAAAGTAAAAGTTTTACTTTGTATAAAGTTTATTAAAATATTGAATTTTGCAAAAACATGCCAGCTATTGTAACCTTGTCCCTGTTTTTATACACAACCAAAAAATCACCAAACACACTAAACAATAGACCTGCGTTGTATAAAGAATACAAATCTTGACTTCTAACAAACCAAGGACGCAGGCTACCGGGTGGTATTGGCTTGAGGTCATGGCAGTACAGACCGAGTGCAACAAGGTCCATTAAAAACAACCCAAGGCCAATATTTCCTACTGCGACTTGAGCAAGCAAGGTTAGTAAGTAGTTTATTATATGGCACTCAGGCCATACTTGATTATTTTGAATTTGCCAGCTTCTGCAAACAAAAATACACTGCACATTACCATTTCTGTGGAAACAGTCAGACTCTGTTGGCAAAATCCTGACCAAATGAGAACCAGTCACACCCCTCAGATTTCCCTCAGAACTACCTTGCTGTCGAAAAAAATTGTCAGTTTGAATGGATGATTGTACCAATTTCTCCACACAATGTCACTACTGAATCAAACCTTGAGGCCATGAGAATAAAGGAAATGATCACCAACTTAAGGAGCTCATGATTGTTATGATGGGGAACATTTTGCTGGAAATGTCTGTGTAGAACCCAAAGATCTCCCTCTTGGTGAAAAATGTCCTGTAAACAAAAGGGTCAATCTTGGTATTAATGAAGACTTTGAATTAAAGGTAGGAAATGTTTGCATTCACTCATTAGCACAGTTTTTAAAGTTAGAAGCCAATT